AACGCATGCAGGGATTCTCGAGGAGAAGAGCAAAATGGTGAGTGGGAGTCATCCTGTCAAGTTGGTTGGGTCTTCTTTGGAGGGAAGGAGCAGGGGAAGGTCAGAGTGCAGGAGAGGTGAGGCCACAGGATCACTTTGCTGTTGGATGAAAAGCTCTCAGGGAGCATCTAACCCTCCTGTTCCCTGCCCTGACCAAAGCAATCAAGCTGGCCTCTTCATTAGTTCTGCATTTCCTTACAAAGTAACTAATACTTTCAGATTCCTGTCTAGATTTTAGCATTTGCCCTGGCTTTTTTGTTGTGGTAGTATTGCCTGGTCTTAGGGTGGTTGGAGAAAAGAGGAAGCTTGTGCCCTGGCTCATGCAGTGGACCACTCTTAAGGAGATTTCCTGTCCTAGGAGGGTGAGACCTGCTGAAACTGGCCAGGTGAGAGTAGCTGAGAGTGAAACCTTCTTCGTACCAGCAGCTAGCGGGCTCTGAGGCTAAAGCAATGTTCTCTGAAATGTCATAATGAATTAATTCTTTGAGCATTCCCTGAAAACATGCTGTCAAAGGATCTTGGATCAACAGCACAGCTAGAGAAGTACAGCACAGTTACTTGTTAATGGTATACAAACAGAAATAATAGATGACTGGCTTTTGTCTCTCTAACTCCTGTTGTTCTTCTTCCACTTCTCCATATTGGTCCCCTTGGGATCTCCCTTTGTCTCTCTTCCACAACCCTGTCCAGTGAATGGCATGTAGCCTGTGTCAGGTCCACCCGTGAGCTGGCCAGGTGTTACCCCTGGAGCTGTATAGGCAGAGAAGAGGAGATGCTCCTCACACAGCAGCAATCACAGTTTGAGCAAGTGCCAGGTGAAGGATTATCCATGTGTTGGAGGGTTGATGCTGGGAGGTGGAAGTGTTTGTGCTAAATCCGAGAAGTAAATCCAGAGTATCTGATCACTGGACATGTGTGTTAACTGCATTCATCCATCTCTGCTCGGCTCCCTTCAGTGAGAACCTTTCTGTACTGGACCACAGGGGCCCAGTGATGCTGATTTTGGTTGGGGAAGAGGCCTGTCTCGTTGTGGTCTCTCCTTCTGATTCCAGTTTGCAGGATGCTACGAGTTACTGAGTGGCAAAAAGGGAGAGGGAAAGGTTGCAAGGTTTATTTTTTACGTTAGCTGCAGTATAAGACTTTCTCTTACCCGAGATATTCTCTTGGCAGACAGTAGATGCTGTAGTTGGTGCTACTGGGAAGCCTGCTTTGACTCACATCAGGGTCACTGATACTCAAAGCCCTGTAAACATTACTCTGGAGTAGTGAGGGCAAGCTATGAGCAGAAGCAGGGGCACAGAAAATTGTCACAATATTGAATTACAATCACTTTATATTTAGAAATTTCAGAGCAATGGTCACGAGTTTTAGTCAAGAGGATTAGAAGTGTCTTTTCTTTTCTGAAGTAAATAAATTGAAAGTTAATGGTAATTTTCATGTAAAAGACATCCTTGTCTCTCCTGACATGGCTAGCATACAAACTGGCATAGTGATGCGGTTTTGCAAGTGACTTGAGACAGTGGCTTTAACCTATTGTACGGTTGAGAGACACAGCCTATTTCTCAGTGTCTTGTTTTCTATATTTGATTGCTGACATGTTAGACACTTCTGTTTCCAAATAAGATGGTCTCAGGACATCTTCAAAGCCTGCAGTCAGAGGAGACCTCAAATACCCAGTGCCCTGCTCGTCACCTGTTAGAGATCCCACTGGAGAACCAGGCTTTTCCTTTAAATAAGGGACTTATACGATCTTCCCACTAGTATTCTGCCTTAAAAACTAAGTGTTTAACCCTGCTCTGGAACTCTGATTGAGTAAGCCAGGAAAAACATTTCTACTCAAATCAAGGGCTACCGGTCAGGTCATTGTAACAGACCTGTTCCTAGCTGGCAGTTTAAATTTGTAAATAGTCAAGTGCAGTTGCACACACAAATTGGTTTCACAAGTAACTTGAGCAGAGAAAGGTGACCATATGTAAATGTTATTTATGTGGCTTCTTCTAGTAAAATTTTCATTTAACCTGCATGTATGCATAGTCCTAGAAATATAATGAAGTCCATTAAGTCCATCTTTAACCAAGAAGAAGGAAATAAATTTACAGCTTCAGAGAAGATGCAGATATGAAAATCCAAGCTCAGACATTAACAAGTCAGCTGTTCACAAAGTTAAGACACCGTAGAAAATCTGTGTGAGAAATGTCTCTGCTATATTTTATACTCGCACCTCTGAGGAGTTTTCAGTCAGTGACCAGTTGTTATCTGTGTCTGCATGCCTGGAGCCATTTCCCAACAGATTTTTGCGGTCCGACACGCAAAGCTGTTCAAAGGTTATGCTTGTGGTACAATGTCCATAGGTTGTGTATAAAGACCACACTTCTAAACAAGCCTGCAGCTGGTATTTGTAATGGGAGGATGAATTCTGGATCTTGCTATGATCTCTTCTCCTCTTTGACTTTGCTGTGGATTACAGTCCACAGTGGTGTGCCCTGCTCCAGGACTGCAGGACTTAGACTGAGACAAATCTCTCATAGCTTGCTTGCATTTTGAGACTTCCTTCTCCATAACCTGAAGTATCCAGGCTTTTATTAGCAAGCTTTCAGTGCATTGATCACTTTGTTCTGAAGTAATCAGGCCCTCCTCAGTGCATGTCAGCAGAACTTCCTGCAGTCAGAAAAGGGACAGCTTTCTGTCAGCTCCCTCTCTACTGACTTTTTATGGATGCAAAGCAAAGCAAAGCTCTTTCAGCCTTTTCCTGCCACCTTCCAAGGGAGACCTCGACAGTTTTGCTCTTTCACTCCAGTTTATTTAATTCTTGCATGTCTCTAGGACTATCTGGCTTTCACAAGTTACACTGAATCTAAGTGTCCTAAAAGCTGCTTCATACAAATGTGCACACTGCTTGCCCCTGGGTTACAGAAGAGGAGAGGTTCCTGCACTGCTTGTTCTGATAACTCACTTCTGAAGCTAAGCTTCTCTTCAGTACCGTTCCCAGCACTGTTAATAGCACTGATCCCTACAGACAGCCCGAGGTGCCCGCAGAGCTCACCATGTAATGGACTCAGTGCTGCTTCCAGCAGTTGAGCTGCACTAGCAACTGTGTCTAAGAAACTTTGCTTTCCTCCGACATGGCAGAGTCACTGTTTCCCAGCCGACGGCACATCTAACAGAGACTGTTCTTCTTACCTCCCTTTCTACGTGTGGAAATAATTCAATCAGAAAGGAGTTAATGTTTTTCTATCATTTTCAGCTGTCCTTGAATTAACAGCAACAGGCACATGTGATTAGCCCAAAGCTTGAATGCTGCAGGTACAAGTCTTTGCTATTTTACAAGACACCGCTGTACTTCAATTCCCAAGCCATAGCGGGGCTAAACAGCCTTACTCTTCTCATGGGGGAGCTGCCAGGGTAAATGCACTAGATTATAAGGCTCTGACTACTCAGATGCTCTGCATGGTATAAACAGTTCAGGCAAAACAGTCCTTTTGACAACCATCACGGGAATTGTATTTTGCCTCTAGGACTTTTATATGACCATAATGCAGGAGACAACAATCTATGTAAATGAAGAACAAGACAAACACTGCAAACCAGGCATCCAAATGCAAGCAAAGCCCATGAGGACAAAGAAACCCAAAGAGATCCACCGTGGAGGAATCCATTTATGAAAACCATCCACTCTATTGCTGAAAGAAAAGAACCAAATAGTGACTGGGACCAGAACTAACAGACAATCACTTTCCTGGGCAGCAGGGGTCACAAAGTGGCAGTGTATGAACAAGAGAATTTCGTCTTTGTGCATACACGAAATTCTACAGAGGACAGGACAAAGAGACTGTGGATGGGGAAATTAGTTGTTTGCAATTATACCCATGAGATGCAGAAGCAAAATGAGATTCCCCTGGAGTACCCAATCTCTCTGGGAAAGATGGTTTTACTGTCCTCCTAAATTTAAGTTAATTCATTTTAGTAAGCAACATTTAAATCCTTGCAGTGATACTTATGGTAGAAAAGAGCAGCCAGAGAGTTGGTGGGAATTGCCATCACTTAGGTGCCTGAGCTTCTTGCAACAGCGTGCAAAGACAAGGATGCACTCTTCCTCTCCTTTGGCAAGAATCCAGACCATAAGTGAGACAAAGTGATATGCCCAAGAAAACAGGAAGGAGAATGCAGCTACAGCTGCAGAACTTAGGCCCTGTGATGGCAGCTCATCTTCATTCTGAGCTGCTCTTTACCCACATGGCCTCTCACTCACGCTGTTCACTCCTCTGTGCCTTGGCATTCCAGCTAGGAGGTGGGATGGGAGTGTGATTCAGGTAGATGACACCTTGCAGAGAAAAAATCTCCTTGGCAGCCCTATCTTGATTCATGTGAGAGTGCCAAGTGGCCACAGTGACAGGCAGCGTTGTGTTGGCAAATGCCTCTGGGAGAGCAGAAGGCGTGGGGGAGATGTTGGGAGGAGGACAAGGAGGAGCCGTAGGAAAGGTGCTTCTAGCTTGTGGAGAGGCTGGGCCGTAGAGTGCCTGAGAAATAAGAGGAGCTCCCAGGAGCAGCCAGATGTCCTCTTGAAGGGGTGAAGGCAGACAAAGCTTCAGCCTCTGAACTGGGGTGAGAGTAGTCTCCTCTGGGAGGGATGCTGCAACTATCCTTCATCTGGCTGTGGGCAGCAGGATTGTCAGATCCAAGAAGAGCAGATAGAGACACTGATAGCCCTGATGCTGCATGACCACATTTCCCTCCCACACTGTGAGCCTTCCTGACTGATGTTGTGCTGCAACTTGCATCCCAACTTGTTGGGCTCCTTGCAGGCAGCACCTGTGGGCCCAGTGGCCAAAGAAGGAAAGACACTTGCCCCAGGAGGGGACAGCCCTTCCCACAGGACACTGGCCACAAGTGCTGCAGACCTACTCTGCAGTGGAGCGGCAGATGTGAGCATTGCCCCAGCGCAAAGAAAATAACAGCTCAAATCCTCATAAACTGATTTTTATTTATGACATCATTAATGTACACATGTGCAGCACTATCCATCTGCAAAACATTCTGCTCTTGTGCTGTGGGAGAAGCAGGTCATGGGCAGCCCAGGGAGCTGTGTTTGTGAGGAAAATCAGCTGTTTGATGCAGCCGCTATCCTCAGTGAGCCCATGGTCAGAGTGTCAGTGCAACAGACTGCAATGTCATCCAGGACCTCCCTGTGATGTGGTGAAGCAATGGTGGGAGGCCTTTAAGGTTTCTGCTCTGTGCATATACCTGTACTTCGGCTGCCTTCCTGGTGACCTTGAAAAGGTGAGCCAATGCTTCTGACATTGCTTTTACTAAGGGAGGTGCAAAGGAGTAGCCAGGCTCAGGACAGTGTGTAAGAGAGGTTTTGTGCTTTTCAGCGGGGCAGAGCACAGAGCTGGTAGGCACGAGGTATGTTGGTTGTCCCACTCAGTGTTGGGGTTATATCGAGTTCCTGGGGGTCAACAACAGACTTCAAGGTAAAGTTCTGCAAGATGGTGGCAACCAGTAAGAATATCTCCATACGTGCCAGGCCCTCTCCAGGGCATATTCGCTTCCCTGGAAGTGAAAAATAGCAAACAGAACTCAGTAGGTGTTGCTGAGTAGACCAGAGTTTGTACAAAGCAGATGTGTTGCACAGCTTTATCTACTGGATGCAGCTACAGACTGTTGGGATTACTATGGATGTTGGCAAGAGTTTGTTGAAGAAAAACCCTTGGGAATTTGGTTGAGTGTATGAAGGAAAAACAGGAACAGGAGTTTTTAAGCATCACAGGAAGCAAGAGAGAGGAAGGTGACATAAAGCATGTGTGAAAAAGTCGAGGGTTCAGGCTATTGATGGGTGAGTTGTTACATGTAGCCCAGAGGCACTTAAGAAGTGCTGGGGAAGAGTGGAACTACTACAGAAAGACAGATTGGTTAAGGATGACTTGGTTGCGTAGGAAAGCAATGAATGTTTTAGGAAGTGGGTCCCAGTCACATCATTATGTTGGCAACTCCTAGTAGGAGGTTTGAGAAGCCACCCAGATGCAGCTGGGGAAGGGAGCAGCAAGGAGTTATCCAGAGAGCCCCAAGGAAGCACCAGTGGAACCATGCTGGGAAGAGGGAGAGTGTGTTATAGGGAAATACAGCGTGGTCCCCAGAAGAGGAGGCTGACAGGGAGAGGAAGAGAGAGAAAGCCTGTTCTTTACCTGCTGAGAAGGGCATGAACAAGTCGCTCTTCCTAAAGGTGCCATTCTCCTTCAAGAAATGTTCAGGGTTGAACTCATTTGGGTTTGGAAACTCTTTTTTGTCATATAAGACAGAACTGATAACGGGAAAGATTGTGGTGCCCTGGGGTAAGGGAAGAGCAGAACAAGAGGGGGAGGCAAGTTAGATCACTGCTTGCCAAGTTAAGGCTGAGCTTTCCAGCACAGTCCTACTAATGCTTTTGGTTTCCCTTTGGGGACCCTTCATTTGGGAAGGCAGCTTTAGGGAGACCTTGCTAGATGTTACAGCAGGGACAATTGTTGGTTGCTCTTCCTGAATGCTCTCTATCATTTTCAAACCATTTATCTTCACCTTGCTCTGGTCATGTGGGGACACTGCATCCAATTCTTCCTCTTTCTTAATGTTTCACAATAATGAACTTGTAGATGCATGGTGGTGAACAGTTCCATGGCCTCGCTGCCTTTTGTCTGAGGAGTTGCTGCTAAGTTTTTTTGTGAACCTACTGCTTTTCCCAGGTATGTAAAGCTGCAAAGCATGTGAGCAAAGGTGTTGGGCAGAGCTGCTGTCCCAGTCTTGGCCTATGGAGCAGCAACAAGGGATTTCAAGCCTAAGAGCAAACGTGCTGTCACCTTGCTGTTGAAATTCAGGGAGTTTGCCCACTAACCTTAGGAATGATGTACTCTCTGAAGTTGGTGTCTTTGATCACAGTGTGAGGGAGAGCCAGGGGGACGAGGGCGATGAAGCGCTGGATTTCATGAACCACCGCATCTGTGTAGGGCATCTGTGTCCGGTCAGCGACACAAGGTCTTCGTGATCGTCCTATTACCCGGTCAATCTCTTCTTGAACTTTCTCTGTCATGAGAGACACAAACCATAAAACAGGTAAATAAAGTTTGCTCTAAGCTGTCCGCAAATCACATAGTACAGATAGATGGCAAGAACATTTATGTTGATTTTGGTGTTGACTAGAACACAGCTCCACTGCAGCCCATGCAAAGATTGTCTTCCTAATGACCTGGCTAAATGGGAATACTGGGAGATAAAGATGTGGACCCAGTTAAGTTTCTGTTTGTGAGGCGAATGCAACTGATGATGATGCCAGCAAAACTGAGGGATCTGTAACGGCCACCCTGGGGAATGACAGTGCAAGGACTTTTCCCATTTGTATAAACTGGGGAGGGGAGGGTGGATTGGGAGAGAAAACGATTGGGAGAGAGAGGGAGAGAGATTGAGAGAAGCATGTGGTGTTAGACACACAGAGGTGTCACAGGCTAGTACCTTGTATCTTTGGGTGTTTCAGAAGAAGCAGAAGCCCATATCTAACAGTGGTGCTAGTTGTCTCAGTTCCAGCAATGAACAAGTCGAAGGCACTGGTTATCAGGTTCTCCATGTGGAAACTGGAATTGGGATTCTCTTTCTCCTAGGGAAAAAGCTGTGCTGTTTCTCTGGTTGAGCTGAGAAAAGTCGCCCTTTCTTGTGTCATCCCAGTCCTTCCTTTTCACCTAGAGCTGTTGCATTTCTCTGCTAAGGTGCAACAGCCTTTTGGGGGCATTGTAAGGCTATCTTTGTGCAGCAAGCTCAGCCCCAGAGCAACTTTCACACTGTGGGCTGAATGGTACGTAGCTGCCTGTTTGCCCTTGCTGTGCCAACAGCTTTCCAGTGGAAAAACTGTAAGACCAGACTGCAAATGTCCCTGTGTTTCAGTGAGAGCAGATGAAAGTCTTGCTGTCCAAGAAGCTGCAAGCAGTGGCTGGTAAGTGTGCAGACTCAGAGTTATAAGCTCTAGCACAGGTGATATCTGGGGTGTTATTGGTGTCTTCCCACTGCACAGCCTAGCTGCCTAGAAAGGGGTGATCCCAATGTCTATGTTACTTAGGAGAGGGAAGCATCTCAGGGTAGGTGTGTTTGGGGATGAGCTGGGGCTGTATGCTGTCTCCTTACCTCCTGCATCTTGCTGAGGAAGCAGTCGATGAAATCCTGAGGGGAGCTGGGATCTAGGGAGGCTTGGTGTATTTTCACCTCCTCTGACACAAAGGCTTTTAGCACATCAAATTCTGTGAATATCTTGTTGTGTGGGCCAGGCAAGTAATCCATGATCTTTGAAAACATCTGGTAGAGCTGAAAGGAAAGAAACACAAAGGTCCTTAGCATGCCCATTGCCTCATCCTGTGATATTAGCAAAAACCCTAAAAAGGCCAAAATCCTCTCAACTGGGCCAAGCAGAAAGGCTATAAGGCCAGGTAGTCTGACAGGGCAGCAGGGGCTTGCTTGGTAGTAGTAGGAACCTTAGAGATGGAGAAGAAGAGTGTTCAGGACTAGGGGGAAGCTGCACTTGGCTGGCAAAGCCAACTTCATTGATGAGGGTGCTTCTTAGTCTTGAATGAATTCCCTCCTGTGTAGCAGAGCATTTATGAGGTGGGTCCTAGTTAGAAGACTGAAATGGGAATTCGTCGGGAGGGAGGTCTCCTGTTCCCCTGGGAAAACATTGCCACAGTGAAATGGCTACTGAATGTACCTGTCCCCAGTGGGAGTTCATCATCTTAGCAATGCTGTTCATGTTGGCCAGCAGGGCCAGGAACTTCTTGTCTTGGTAATCATATCGTTTCCCAAAGATGATGGAGCATATGATGTTGGATACAGCAGAGCTTAGCATGAAGGTTGGGTCAAAAGGTGCTCCTGTTATATCAAAGAAGTTACAAACCATAAAAAAAATACCAAAAAAAACCCCAAAACACCACACCCAAAAAACCCCAAACCATGACTATTTATAGCTACTGTGGGTAACTGAGCTCTGGTTGGTAGTGGAAGTACCAAATCACAGTCTCTGACACAGAGTGGTTCTCCAGAAATACCAGTACACGATCAGAGAATTATTTACTGCTTTGTAATGAGGAGTAGCTGGTGCATGGAACAAACACACAGGAATTTCAATTCTGTGTTGAAGACGTGGGGTCCCTTAATGCAGTCTTTTTTTTTTTTTTTAACATAAGCTATCTTAAAAATGGACCATACCATTTGTTTTGTTGATCTCTTCCAGCAAGTGCTCACTTTCCTCCTGAATCCTCTGTTCAATGCTCCTCTTCCCCATTCCAAAGTTGCGCAGAGTGGTGAGAGCAAACCGCCGGACTTCTAACCATTCCTTGTTGTTGCTAAAGATAATCCCTGCAGAGGAAGAAGGGAGGAGGGAAGATCTGGCTTGGGCTTGCTGCATGTGAGTTGAACAGAGGCTCGTGGTGACAGTGAATCCTGTCCTTAGGAGCGCACTTACATGGTAGTGTTATAGAATACTGTGGTTTGGAAGCAATCTCAGGAGGTCCTGTAGTCCAACTGCCTGCTTTTCACCTTCTCCGCCACATACCCAACCTCCTTGTGAACAGTTAATCACTCATATCCACACATAATTTCCCTTGCTGCAGCTGATGGCTCTTGCCACTTGCCCTTTCACTGCCCATGGCTGTGATCAATCTAGCTCAATTTCTCTGCTATCCGTTTTGGGTGGCGGAAACCAGAAATTACTGCCCCTTCTGCCTTCCATTCTCCAGGTGAGGCCCACCTGCTCCCCACAGTCTTCCCTCGCATGGCATGTTCCAGCTCTAATCTACTAAAAGAACCCTCAGCCCTTCCCTTCTCAGAAGGAGCTCAGTCAGCAAACATACCTAATCCATTGTTAGCCCTGTCCCCTATTGGCATGTGTCCTCTGGCAGCAAACTCATCTGCACGATCAATCAAGGCTTCTTTCACCACGTCATGTCCATGCAGAACCACCACTGGGTCAGGGCCCAGGTGCACTGTGAACACTGGTCCATACTCTTCACTGAGCTGTCAAAATGCAAGAGGGAAAATGGCCATGGAACAGATAGAGGGGAGGAATTGAAAAGTGGCCTGAACTGCTGCATCCCACTGCAGGCAGTGCGGGCTCACAGACCAGCACCATCAAGATTTGGTCTTCTCATAAGTGTGGTTGTGGAGGGAGTTCCCACCTATCAAGCCCTCAACAACAACTGCAGTGACAGGGAGCAGCTGAGATCCTCATGACTTTTCTGCTCTGGGATTGCCACTCATCAAGCTATGGCCACAGGTTGTCCCCATCACAGGTCCCATATGTTTCTCTCCCACAGAAGAAAGTAGGAAAGAACAAGAATGTAGCCTTACCTTACGGAGGGTGTTAGCCAAGTCCTTTGGTTTCACCTGCATCATGGTGCCTAGGATGGGAAGAGGAGATGGTCCTGGAGGCATCTTTCCCTTTCCAGACTTCCTTCTCCATGCTGTGATGGAGAGCAGGCAAGCTATGCAAACCAGGAGGACAACAGTGGCTGCTGTCAAGAGCCCCATTTTGCTTCGGCAGCTCAGGAGAGAATGACTCTGGCTGCTGAAGCCCAGGTTTATGTACTGAAGGGCTATGTTAGCTCAGCAGCAGGTTTTGGATTACGTGGCTGAGTTAGTCAATATTATCAGTTAATCATTTGTTATGCTGCCCTGTGTTATGAAACTACAGCTTCTCAAGGATTAATAGGTCATTGAAGACACGCCTTATCTCAAATAACTGCAGAAGTCAACAGAGGTTAAAAAGTTTATAATGTGCTCATAAAACTTGTTTGGTGTCACTAAAATTTATTGTTAAAGAGGTCACTCTAGGAATGCACCTCTTCTATTAGAGGTACTCCTGGAAATTCACTGTCATGAGAGCATGTTCCAAGTTCTTCAGTGCCATTTGGATTTTCTATTCTTAGTGTTGATTGTACAAGCTGTCAGTGGGGGGAGCCATCCTTACTTGTTCCTAAAGTCTTTCTGACATTACCAGTGGCTTTTGTACCACATGTGACTGCTAAAGAACATACTGACTTATGTTCTCCTTCGTGCACAGCAATTGCCTTAGTCTCTCTCCCTAGAGCTCTCTGGCCTCACAAGAGAGGAAATTATAAAATATCCATCTAACAAGGGCAGAAGGGTCTCCAGACATCACAATAGACAAGAAAGGACTTGCTGGGAGAGATAAGATGAAGACATAAGAAAAGGGGACTAGACCTTGGGACTCTGACCTCTTCGATGTCTCCTTGAGGCAAGCGAGAGAAGCAGGTAGAGAGGAGAAAAATCAAGAACTTGAGAAGGTCCCTCGGGAATGGCTTCCCAAGCTGAGACAACTCACAGCTGCACTTGTGAGAGGCTGAGTATAGATTAGTGCAACCTGGCAACTAGTCCTTGCAATTGCAATGACCAAAGAGGCCCACCCAACCTACTGGAGGAAGCTGGCATGCTCAAGTTCCTGTTTTGTTGATGTCTGATTCTGATATGAGGAACTGCTCCCCTGGAAGATCCAGAAGTGCTCGGAGAGGCTGCAGAGCATGCCTGGTGTGTTGTGAGGACTTCAAAAAGAGCTAGAGGCTTATGCCCAAGATTAGTCCATGAGCTACGAACCTGCGAGGTCCCAATAGCCATAACAATGGCAGGTAGAAAGGACTCTCAGGACTGTGGCACTGCCTGTGCTCGTCTTTCTCAGTCTGGCCACATCCGTTTGTCTCTCCTGAGCTGTGACATTTCTGCAGGCAAACAGAGCAGAAGGTGTTGTGAAGACAGGGGACATGGGACTTGGTGGATGCCCAGAGAAGGGCAACAAAGCAGGTGAAGGATCTCAAGAACAAGTCTTACGAGGTGCAGCTGAGGGACTTGGTGTTGTTTAGTCTGCAGGAAAGGAGGCTGAGGGAAGACCTTATTGCACTCTACAACTACCTTAATGGAGGTTGTAAACAAGTGGGTGTTGATCTCTTCTCACAAGTTACAACCAACATGACAAAAGGAAATGGCTTCAGGTTACACCAAGGAAAAGTTTGGGAAAAACTTCTACACTGAAAGGGTTATCAAAGCCTGAAACAGGCTGCCCAAGGAAGTGGTTGAACAGCCATCCTTGGATGTGTTTAAAAGCCATCTAGATATGGTGCTCAGGGACATGGTTTAGAAGTGGGCCTGGTAGAGTTAGATAATGGTTGGACTTGATGATCTTGAAGGTGTCTTCCAACCAAAATGATTCTATGATTCTAAGGGGCATCGGTGCTTGGCTGGAGTGTGCTGAGTTTGCTGTGCAGCAGTGTGTTGATATGAGCTTGCCCTTTGCTCAGAGATGTTAGTGAAGGTCTCCATCCCTTGCAAAAATTTCTGTAGCTTACTGTATGGGCTGAAAGAGGCAGGACGCAGGAACAACCACAGACCACAGCTGAAATGCAAAGAGTAGATTTAGTCTCGCTACGTGGGAATCTGGAGAATCCTTGCAGCAGCATCTGGGCGGAGGCACACAGGCAGCGATCACAGGAGCAGCATGACAAGCAGCAGCACAGACATAAGGAGATGTCTCCTTGCTAGAAACCACATGGTATTTAGCCCACTGCTTTGTTATGTTTTACTTGCTGCTCTGCCTGAGTTCCCAGGACTCACATGATGGCTTTGCAGGGCAAGAATGTGAGAGATGCCTCTACATCTATCCCAGGTCTCTGTTATCTAAGCGTGGGTGTGCTGCTTGTCAAGCATGCCAGCCCAAGCAGTAATCTAGTGTGATGTATGTGTTTTCCAACACCTCACGTGCAAGTCACTTGAGGTGATCCTACAGTTCTCCTCGCCAAACTTCCATTGTACCCCTACACTTACCTACAAGTTCTTAAGTCATCCTCATTTTCTTGCATAGGCACAATAATTTGCTAGCTGCTCTTTTTAAATCTCATTTTACTTCTTAACGACCTGTACTAGATACTTTTGTAAAAAGTAAAAAGCTTTGTAAAAACTGAATTGCTGACAAATTTGGGCTAGTTGCCCATCTGCTGGCCTAAACTCCTGCATCGGATGTTGCCAGGGCAGTTCATGGGAGTTTGTCTAGTTCTAGAGACTTCCGTCTGGTGAAAGTAGAGTTCATAGGAGTTCGCACTCCTATATGAGGTTTCTCTTCTGCCAGGGTTCACGACCTTCCCTGTAAAGTTCTCTTTTTCTGGGGACAAAGGCTCATCTGTCAGTTCTGCCTCTTCATTTGCGACATACTTTGGGCAAAATCCCTGAACTAAGAATACTTTCAAAATTTCTCAATTTTATCTGGGTAAAATCATTATATTCCAAATACACCTACCACTGGGGATATTCCAAATACACTGTACACTGGGGATTTACAAGAGGAGAAAACCCATAAGACAAGTCACTCAGACCTTTCCCGGTGGGAACCCATGGGCTTTTTCATGTCACAGTACGTCCAAGGGTTTTCTGAGTAATCACTTCTGTTTGCAGACTCTATGAGCAGGCAGAGTTGGTCTGTCCTCTCCATTCATGTCCAGGAAGGCCAGGCTGAAATCTCCTCTTCTGCATCCTTCCCATGAACTTTGGTGTTAATTCATTGGAGGCATGTATTAGGGATACCCAAAGAAAAGGCTATCAGTGTCATAGCTTTGCCTCTTTTATTCTAAAACAAAGCACAAGCTTGAAGAGAACCTGTCATCGTTGTGTAGAATCTCCTGTAAGCTTGCAACTGCACCTTCTCTTTCTGGACCTCAGTTCAGAAGGTGGCACTGCAAAATGCCCCTCCTGTCCACTGTGCAGCTAGCACCCCTCATCCCTAGGATGCTTGGTGTGGATGTCCCTGCTGTTTGCAAATGCTGTTGAAGGACTGTTTGGACTGAGTCACTCCTCCATTCACTGCTGCTTTGTACCACATGATGCACGGTACAGGCCAGACATGTAGCAATCTCCTTGGAGGCAGCCCCATGATGCACAGGACATTTTGTACTTCTCTTCCTGACGCTTCTTGGTGGTCGTGTTTAACACCTCCTTTTCTTCCCACAGGTATCTAGAGAGCTTTCTGCAGCCAGGGTAACTCCTACACTGCCACCATGTCTGCTCCAGTGTCCCAGGCTCAAAATTGTTAAGAAGGAGAGGATTTTCCTGATGGACATCCTAGGAAGAATTTAGCTTGCTGGGGTTATGATCAGATTCAGGCTCTGTAGTGGCCTACAAAGATGTTTGCTTCACCTATCTTCATCCTATCCTCTTGTGTCCTCTTTGTGGTGGTCTTGGGTGCTAGCTAAATTTGCATTTACAGGTGGATCGTGGTAATGCATGAGAGCCATTGAATGGATGAGGAGAACATTTGTGAGGGAGAGAGACCTGCCTGTTTCCTCTCATCCAGGCTGCAGTATGCTGCCCCTCACAACTTCTTCTGAACAAGGCATGTAATTTCCATGAATTTCATGCTCAATTGACTTGCCTCTCATCTCTACATCATCCAACGCAGCTGTCAAATGTGTATGTAGAGACTGCGGAAGGGCACTTACCTGAAACTGTTCTCAGCACAGGTATTGTTTGGTGGATCTACAGCACGCCCAGTGTTGCTTCACATAGTTATTGTTCAAGCATGTGTACACATTTTTTCTGTCAGCACAAACAAACTGTTGGTGAGTTAAAGTGTAATGAAAACTATCTCTCTATAGCTCCAAAGTACTTTGTTTATTTTTTATTGTTTACCCAGTTATCAGCATGTAACGTGGTCAAATGAACCACTCTGCACTCACGCAGTGTCTGTGAGTTTGAGGTGAACTGTCTTGGCACAATGTTCAGCTTCTGCAGAGACAAAACCTCCCTCTCTGCCAAAGTCCAAATATTTTCCCTGGGCACTCTGGCTGCCTGACACCCAGGCAGGCACTGGGGCAAGCATATTTATTTCATGAGCACCGCTCAGACAGCAGCCACACAGGCAGCCTGGTGAGATCCATTTGCTTCAGTCCCTGCTGTGCAGAGCAGCTGAAAAGGTCTTGTACTTTGTGGAACAGCCCTCCCGGTTGGTGTGCGAAATGAGCAGTGTGCAGGGTGACTGGTGATGGTCAGCTGGGATCATGGCATCCTGTAGAGCTGCAGAGGAAAGATTGGCTGTGAGCTAAGGTGGAAGAGCAGAAGAAACACCTCCCTTGGCCTTAGCTACTGCCCATGCTTGTTGATGAGATCTAGGGTTGGCTGGAGGAGCAAGCTGCATGGTGCTGTGCAGATGTCTGGGAACTGGAGGGTCTGCTGAGAGCAGAAGCTGCCAATGGAAGTGCATTATTAAGGGTCAAGATAGAAATCCTACTTGTCTAACCCACACGCCATGCTGGGATGTGTGTGATGATCTAGTCCCAAAGGAATAAGAGCATGATTACAAAAGAATTTGACAGCACAGGCTATGGCAGTGCTTCCATGCAAAAAGTTTGGTGCAAAAGGTGTATACAAACCACACGTGCATCACCTCTGCAGCAGTGTAGAGACATTCACACCTCTGTTGTGAGAATGCAAAAACATCTGCATGGTAAAATGTACAATAAGGCCTTTACTCAGTATGGGTACTGTAGCCC